TATTTATAAAGATGACATTAACTCTCAGAAGAACACAGAAGTCTTCACGCTACTGAATTATTTTATTATATTATGTTATTACATATGACAGGGAGAATGTGGAAAAACTGGACCACTGACAAATGGCTGGGTCAGGTGCTGTGGAAAGCCACTCATGATGGCTAATCTTGTTACCTCGACTGGCTGGAAAGCAGCCTGCATTCTAGATTCCGAGAGCCTTTCAAGAGACCGCTGGCTTGCGTGAGAGCACGCAAAGGGTAAAGACCAGATTGAAAGTGGACCGTATCACTCAGCAGACCCAGATGGAACCAAAGCAAGAAGGAAGCAGCACATGCATACTAACTACACTCTCAACTGTGGCTACCTTCACCCATGGATGTCCGACTCCTTAGCTTTTGAAGCGATTCAAACTAGTTACTGTAGGTAACTCCAGGTCTTCAGCCTCCTACTCAGACCCTTTTTTTCTGAGGCTTCCAGATTCTTGGGGTGAGCAGTTCCTGGGTCTCCTGGCTTTCTAGCATGCATATAGTCAGGGACCAGCCAGCCTCCCACTATGTAAGCCAATTTAATACGTTACTTTTTACAATTCAATCTATTTCCACAGATTCTAATCCTCAGAGAAGTTGACTAACACAGTCCACAAGAAGTTAAGCAAACTATTACCACGTGACCTGGCCATACACTCAGAGGCACATACCTTAAAGAACTGACAACAGGTATGCACAACAAAACATGGGTTCACAGCAGTTCAATCAGCAAAGCCAAAGGGTAGGGAAAAAAACCCAGAGGCCCACAAATTAACCGATAAACACAATGTGGCATGTCCATACAACACAGGCCCACCTGCTAACACAGGTAAAACACCCAGGAAGCACTGAGCCAACGAAGAGCCACGCAAAAGGTCGCATTTGTACAGCTCTATTTATTTTAAGTACCTAGATTAAGGCATCTCCCAGAAACAGAAAGCAGGCTGTTTGCCAGGGGCTGGGAGTGAGGGATGGTGGGAGTGACTGCTTCATGGGTATTTGGCTTCCTAAAGTGGGGTAGGAATGTCCTGGAACTGGATAGTGGTGCCGGCTGCACAACATCACAAATGCAGCAAACAGCATTGAAAATGGTAATAAATCATGCTTTGTGTATCCCACACAATGTAAATTAGAGTTCACATTTAAACAGAAAAGGGCGGTTTGTGAGCTCACCAACAGTTTAATGCTGTGGAAATGAAACTGGGTAACAAACAGAAGAGTGAATGGAGAAGTGGGGGCCCTAAAATAAACCACCAACACGACAAACAGGTTGGTGGGACTCTAATAACGGCATCATTGTAACCGGTGGGTGGGCAAGTGCCTCCAACCAAAGGAAAACTCAGGCCTCCACACTTCACTGGGGAGTAGTAACAAAGACGCAGGCTGTCCCAACTCAGCTATGTGCATGCAGAGCTAAGCGGCTCTGCAAGGGGCAAGGCTGGCTGCTGCAGGTCTGCGCCAGGTGAGACACTAGCGTAGGGCAGGGCCCCGCTGAAGCTTCGAACCCCTCCAGGGACTGAGTGGTGTCAGCGAAGGGAGAAGCAAGAGACAGCCCTTTCTGAGGGCTTGTGACACAAAATGGCTTGGTCAAGGCTCCACAACTTCCTCTGGGGTGTTCTCATCCTCCCAGTCTCCCACGTTAACCCCATTGCAGGCTCTCCCAGAGTGATGTCCTTACCCAGCATGTCCTGACAGAGCATGCCAGAATGTGGCCACTTTGCCCTCTCGGACCCCAGGAGTGGAGGCCAACATCAGGCTAGGCCATAACTTTTCTCTGATCCCTCATCCGTGCACCTAAGCTGTTGTGGAATATTATTTTAAGATGTGTTATATTTGTCTATGTTGTGGAACAGTTGTTTAGTGATGCAAAGATGTGCGGCATTATTTTATGTTACAGTTGTTTAACTCTGAATGTTAACTTTGACTGTCTAAAACACCTGACTGATAAAGAGCTGAACAGCCAATAGCTAGGCAGGAGAAAGGACAGGTGGGGCTGGTGGCAGAGAGACTAAATAGGAGAAATTTGGAAAAAGATCAAGGACTGAGGAAAGGAGAGGAGGACATCGGGGGCCAGCCAGCCAGCTACACAGAAGCCATGTTAGAGTAAGAAGTAAAGAAAGGCATATAGAATAGAGAAAGATAAAAATCCCAAGGCAAGAGGCAAATGGGATAATTTAAGACAAACAAGCTAGAAACAAGGCAAGCTAAGGCTAGACAGTCATAAGAAAGAATAAGCCTCTGTGTGATTTATTTGGGAGCTGGGTGACAGGACCCCCAAAGAGTAAAAATAACCAACCACACTAGCCAACTACTAGCACCGTATCATTTAGTTTTTGCAAGGCAGGGGTCATCATAGTCCACTGGACTGCCACCCTACAGGGCCCACTCAGCTCATGGAGGCCTCAGTCTTGGGGAAGAGGCTGTTGGCACCCACTGCTCCCTGGTGGCAGACTCTACACACTGACCAGTGGTGCTCTTTGAAGGAATCCTTACCCTTGATAGCTTCCTTTGGTTCTAATGTCTCACACCTGGGTGATAGGGTTAGAGGGGTGTAGGGTTTTGACCCCCTTTACTTTAAGTATCACCTATGGTATGCAGCCTTCCAAAACACTTTTAACCTCTCATCGCACATGCTTGTAAGTTCCTACGTATATTATTTACCACAGTCACAGCTATCACTGAGCCTTTCATTCATCCTAGATCTGGCACTAGTTCCATTTGACAGACATTGTGCTTAAAGTTATCAATGGGTATGTTTGTAACTGCCTTATCTAGTTCATAACTAAGAATTCACACAGATAACCATCGTTTTTAAATGGAGGGCATTATGCAGGCACCGAGCTCACTAGGAAGATTCTCAGTAGACAGAAATGCTCTGGAAACCCAGGCATTGAACTTCAGACCTTGGAAGGACTTTAGTGGTTACTTGGGCAACCTACTTATTTCCTATGAAAAACAGCCAAGGGCCTAAGTGACAGGGAGACCTGCCCAAGGTCATCACAGCGAGAGACAAGACAGTACTTTTCAAAGCTGACTCTTTCTTAAAAAAAAAAAAAGTGATTCATAATGCTAATTTTAATATTTATCAAACCAGTGGTAGGAATGAATTTTTAATGCAAAATAACTATTATGGTCTAAAAAATTGAACAAACTGGGCTTTCAACACTACATAAAGCTGTATGAATCCCAACCTACTGTGTAGGGGAATAATGGATTCTTAATTGAATCTGTGCCTGAGAGTGGAAGAATGATTTTTAAATGGAAAACCTCCCAGAGCTGCTGAGAAATAAGTTTAGTTAGATAAATTATTCTAGGAGAAAGAGCAAAACCAGGCCAGAAAATGGCTTTTTCTAAAAACTCCCAAATAAACCCAATACAGTTCACAGCTGGCAAGCCACAAGCTCTCACCTGCCTTCCTGGCCTCGGCAATGTCGCCTGGTCCTGGTCCCTGTCTCCAAGGTGTCATGGAAGCCTGTCTAGCAGGTCTGGGACCCTACTCACTTATCTCATTTATATTACCAGCATCCTGGGACATGCTACCCAGAGTTCTCAAGGGCAATATAGGCAACAACTACCCTCAACTTTCAGGCCTGGCAGAGAGCCTGGGAATGATCTAGCCTCACAAAGCCCAGAGATAAGAAAACTAAGGCCCTGGGAGGGAGGTACCCGGTCCAGAAAGGTCACATGGCGTTAATGGCTCTAATCACCCAAGGTAAGTGTTTTGGCAGATTCATCAACCCCATTTCCATCTCCAGCTGTGAGGACCTCAGAGCCATGTCGCAGTCTCAAGTGCTAATTAAAATCAAGAGAATTATGGACATACTATTTATAGGTAGGAGTGAAGGAATTAACAAGATCATAAAAGCTGGGACCCAGAAGAGCCTACTGAGATTCACATTTTACACTCAACTTTTATTAAGACAGAACACAGGGTAGGGGTTGGGGAAGAGCTGGAGAGATGGCTCAGCAGTGAAGAGTAACTGGGGCTCTTGCAGAGGACCCAGGTTTGATTCCTAGCACACAAGCATCTGTAACAGTTCCAAGGGATCCAATGCCTTCTTCCAGCCTCTACAATCACCATACATACATATATACATGTAGGCAAAACTCACATACATTAAAAAAAAAAGAAGAAATCTAAGAGGGGAAAAAAGGAAACAGGTAACATGCAGTCTCAACTTTTCCTGACAGTGAACTAGGCCTTTAGCTGTAGTTGGTCTTGATGGACCAGTTACTAAAAAGTCTCTTGCATCATGAGAAACAGGTAATCCCACACCTGGGAGGCAGCACTGCCATCAATAACAGCAGGATGGTCATAACCATCCTCCAAACACATCGGTTGCTTCGGAGCAACCTATTTCCAGGGTCTCTCTCTCTTTTTTTTTTTTTTTTTTTTTGGTTTTACGAGACAGGGTTTCTCTGTATTGTTTTGGAGGCTATCGGTCCAGCCCAGCCTCGAACTCACAGAGATCCGCCTGCCTCTGCCTCCAGGGTCTCCTTTATTACTTTGAGTTTAACCAATAATACTCAGTCACCAGGTCTTCCACTGGATGTCAACACCAGGAGAATGGAAACCCATAAAAACTTTCTTAAAGGATGGTGTTTTGATTATTTTGCACTTTTCCTATAGCAGCTTCACTATTCTGCAAATAAAACGGCTCCCATGAGACCTGGCAGTGGGAATGAAAGTGCTGCAGCCCAAGACCTCCCAAGTGGCCATCTATGTTTGGGGGAAGTCACTAGCTGCTCTCTGCCAGGCCCCACTACTGCACAAGGATGAGAGGCTCTCTCTGCAGCAGTATCAACTGCTAACTGGTCAATCAAGCTCCAAGAGAGAACTGGAGAGGAAGTTCATCTCGTTATTTTGTTTGTGACGCTAACAGCCTCAAGGGGGAGATTCTGTGCAGACTGAATGCTCTTCACGGATGATCACTAACTACTACTCAAGGCAGGGAGAAGAAACATCACATAATGTTGTTCAACAACATCATCTTTATTCAAAAATATATATCTATGAGACATTTCAGAATATACTGCTGCCACCAATGGCAGCCTATACTTCTAAATAAAGTCCTAAATTAATATACAAATTTAAGCTTTAAAAATATCCTTTAAGAAAAACAAAACAAAAACAAAGACTGAAGACTTTCTGAAGACTATGACCCTAAAGGAAAGATCCTTGAGGCCTATGGATGCCCTAAATAAACACAAAACCAGAAGTCACCCATCCCACCCGCCAGATCAACTCTCAGGGACAATAAGTTTCATTTAAATTAAACAAGGGAAGTAAGCACACAGTTGGGAGACTGGGAGTGGGAGTGAGGGGGACGACAAAAAGATTAAAAAACCAAAGCATTTCATTAAAACGAAACTAACTTCCTCACAGGAAGTCTGCTAGTAACAGGTGTTAAGAGGCCAACACATTCATTTACATAATCGCTACAGGTTCATTTCTTGATCTTGCTGTAAGAATTATGCACTGATTGCTGGTCAGAGATGCCAAAGGATAAAACACAGCAGTGAGCTAATCCATTATGTTTCCATCTTTTCTCCTAGTGATCAGAGCTGCTATAGGCGTTTGGTTTGTGGCCAGCAAACACCTCTTCCCTAGGGAAGCAGCGACTGAGGAAGGTGTTCAGAAAAGGTGTGTCCATGTGACTCTGAAGTGGCACTCCGTGTGGGGAGGTGTTTGACAACAGAGATTGGGATTTCACTAAAGTCAGTGCTGTCCTGTAGCCTCTGGGGAAAACAATGATGGCAGAACAACGGGCAGAATAAACAAGCAAAAGGCAGCGTGCACTCTGTGAGAGAGCGCCAACTAGACCAGGCAGGCTCTAACTGGAACCGAGTCCCAACCTCACAGCAGGTGGGGCGGCTTCTCAGATTGACACACAGGTTTACATATAAAAGGATGTGTGCTTTTTTTGGTGATCCTGAAAACAGAAATTCAAAATAATGATGCTTCTCAGGCCCCTTCACTGAATTCCTTCTTAAGGCTTTTGGATTTCAGCTTCGGGCTATAATTCCTATTACACTAGTAGAGCAAATGGTTTCCGCCCTTTCCAATGTCAACAATGAGCCTGCCACATGAGAATGATTTTTCAGGTCCAAGCCCGATCTTTACTAGACTAAGATAAAAATCCTAACTACATCATTCAGTCATGTCAGCTGGCATGATAATGGAATTAAAACCCCAAATTAGTCTCCCTGCGTTCTCTCTCTGCTGGGGTGAGTTGTCTCTAGGAACACTCCTCTTTGCATGGGATCGTGGGTGCAGGGTGGCACGACCCGCCTGGTATGCTCAGTCTCCTATCTGCAGAGCTGCTCAAGTCTAGCCACCATACCGTGTATGGATGCCCACATGATGGAGTTAGCGTATACTCCAGTCCCCAAAGGGGGAGAGCAACATCCACGACAGCCCAAGCCCTCTCTACCAGTGGAGCACTCATCGGTCCAGGCATGCCACCCCGACAGCCACCTTCACAGCACCAGGGGCAGTGGGGCCTCTTTAGGGAGGTGCTCTGATACTGGAGACCCTTGAGAAGTGTAGCATGGGAAGGCTACGGGGAGACACCAGGCAAATGACTTGTGATCCCTGTCACTCTGTACCTGTGCTGTGACTTCATATCCCAGATCAGCTTTGGATCTTATTCCTAGATTCTCTAGATTGCTCAAAAACAAACCCACCTAACCCTGACAATACCTCTCTAGAAATAATGGTCAGGAAGGTCAACAATTTGGCAAACTGCCTAAGGCTGGGCTGCCAACCTTGAGGGCACACGGTAGCCAGGAGAGCCAATGCCTGCAGCCTGAGTCCCTCACTGGGAGCCTGTTCTGAACCTGGCCAAACCCAGCTCAGAAAGGGGCTACTTCCATGACATGTGCTGTCACTTGGGGCAAGATTCTCTTGAAAGCTTCTGGAAATACACATGATTTTCATGGCTTATGGGTGTAAGAGAGCTAAGAATGGAAAAGCAATGGGCATAAGAACATGAGTGGGAGGGAGTCAGTATTCTTAGCAAGTACGAATCAAAATGAGTCCATCTGCACGGTTCTGAACGGTACTCAGGAGGAGCCGGAGAATGAGAAGTCAGAGTTCCCTGCTTCATTCCTGCAGTGGATGCTGGCTGAAGAGATGGAGCCAGGGCCAGAAGGTATCTTCAACAGTGACTTGCTTCTTCTCTGGCACACATGGGAACCTGGAGCACTACACCTGTCCTAGTCAGTTGAGAAGAGATCACCAGCAGAAGGCAGCGGTGCCAAGCCCCCTGTTACGTTGGGCAGCAGAGAGAGGTCTGGCAAACTCTGAATGTGGGACTTGAGTTCCTTGCGGACCTGGGTTACTCGAGCAAGCTTCTGTTTATACTCCTAGGGAGACAAGGGGAGACTATGGGTTATACTGTGCAGGCCAGTCTACTAGCCCCACCCACCTGCTTTGCACACCCAACCAGACTGGCACTGCTCACCACACTGCAGATGCCAACCACCCGAAGGTCCAGCTTATTAAAGAAAAACCAGCTCGCCAAACTGCTGAGAGTCTGAGGAAGGACATCCAGCCCAGCACATGGAGTTGGGAAGTAAAAAGAAGTGACATGTTTGTATTCTTTTAACTGGTCCTCAACAATTGTAGAAAAACACAGGTGCTCACTTGTTCCTGAGATCTTGAGGGCTTTATCTAGACTAGCAGTTCTCAACCTGTCAGCCACAGCTCCTATCTCCAAAAATATTTACATTAAGATAATAGTACCTTAATGAATATAGATAACTTAATTTACATTAAGATAACAGTAGCACAATTAGTTACAAAGTAGCAACAAAAATAATAGTATGGTGAGGAACTGTACATAGCATTAGAAAGGTTGAGAACCACTGATCTAGACAAAGCTAGACAAATCACTAGAAATATAAGCAAACTTTTAGTGTTAAAAACTTATAAACCACTCCAGACTGATCGCTCATGAACAAGCTCTCCATCTCCACATGCTCAAAATACCCACCTGCCACCAGTTGGTCCAAGACCCCTTCACTGCCGTAGTCCTCGCAAAGGCCTCCTAGGAGCCAGTGCTAGTTTCTTTAGGGATGCTGCCAGCCTAAGCTCTAGAGTCTAGTCTCCCCACACCCTCCCACTGAGAAGGCATAAAGTGCCCCACCATCCCCACAACTGCTCAGAGCCCAAAGCATTTGAATGTCACTGATTCCAAACTCATTCTCTCCCTTCCTGGCCCCTCTGAACACGTTACTGCCTGTATAGTCTAGTCATCCAGGACTCTCCTCTGGCTGCTTCTCTTGGTCCTAGCAAAGGCTGATTCTGCCCCTCTACCTACTGGCTGAGTGCCATCTGCCTCAGAAAATCCACTTAGTGCTTAGAGAACAGGTGTCCACTCACACCTTTGCTCTACAGACCTCCCATGCTGGGTGAGCACTAGAGAGCCCAAGCAGCTGTTCAACGTTCACTCACCTCAGTCACATCAGATTTCCACAGTCCTTTACATTGTGACTCCCAGTGACAGAAATAGGCAGGGTTTTTTTTTGGTCTGTAGCTCACAAATACTTGTGATACCTCTGTATGGGAAACCACTGGGTCATGTGATGTCTGAAGCTTAGAGACTCCTAGAGGCTTATTTCCCCCACAAAGCATTTTACAAGGATAAGGAGGTTGCTGAGGCTGGGCACAGGATGCTTAAAGACTTTCTTAGAGGACCCTCGCCCATAGCATTGGTTAAGATTCCGAGGCCAGGGGTTGGCACTGCTTCTGCCTGTTCTGTCCCGTTTGAGACATATTTCCTTCTTTCCTGCCCAAAATGCAGGAACAGCCTTTACCATAAAAGTCTTTTTTTGGGTGGTAGGGACATCTGAGACAGAGTCTCACTATGTAGCTATGGCTGTCCTGGAACTCAATATGTAGACCAGGCTGGCCTCAAACACAGAGATCTAACTGCCTATGCCTCCCTCCCAAGTGCTAAGATTAAAGGTATGCACTACCACACCCAACAATAATTCTCAGTTCTTAAATGCCAAATACCTAGGCACACCAGGAAGATGAGTTTGATGGCTTATATGAACTATTAATGAAGACTCTTCCATCAAACCAGAAAGCTATGAACCCATATGCTCCATTCCACGCCCGCCACAACTCAAAGTGCCCAGAACAGCTCACAAAAGACAAACATATAAAAGGTATAGAAATCTTCCTTACACTTGGACTTCCGGCAACACTTTCACTCCTACAAAGAAGCTACCTTCCAGTCTAAGCTCTACAAGGCTAAGGTCCCCTTCCTCTGCTTGCACCAACACTTAAGTGGCATTTGTCTAACACATCAAGCCAATGGTCTCTTTCTGGGCAAGATGCATTACTAATCACAGCACTTGGAAGACTGAGGCAAGAGAATCACAAACTCAAGGCCAATCTGAGCTACACAGAGAGATCCTGTATCAAAATCAGAACAAATGAAAGACCTAGCAGGCCAAGAAGCTTAAATAATCAAAAGGGTGAGTCAAGCCTGCATTAGAACAAGGGACAGCAGAATGATCCATCTTGGTGACTGAGAGGTGACCAGGTCGAGTTGTAGCTAGTCTTTTTATGGGTCACAGAGCAGACTCCATCTCTTCCCTTTTTGAGGAGTCAGGCTTTCCAAATAAAGTCAACTATAAATGCTGCCATGAACTAACAAAACATTCAAGAACAAGCCCAAGCAAAACTATCCCAAGTGCAACTTCAGCGCACCCTTCTAATTCTCCCCTTCCTATGCTCCCCAAAGCAGGGCAGTGTACCCACCCCCACTAGGTGCCTTCCCAGTTTTCTCTGGTTCTGAGCAGGGACCATAAGCATTCAGGAAAATGTAAGAATCCTATTTCTCAACATACCAGCCTGCCTTTCCTCCTGGTAGTGTGTGGTCCTTAAGCTGTTGCTAAAAGACTCCCTTGGAAAACAATGCCCGGAGCAACTCTTGACCCTTTCCATAATGCCACCTGCGGTGGTTTCAATAAGAATAGCCCCACGGGTTCATATATTTGAATGTTTGGTCACCAGGAAGTGGCACTACTTGAGAAGAATTAGGTGTGACCTTTTCAGAGTAGGTGTGGCCTTTTCAGAGTCACTGTGTCACTGGAGGTGGGGTTTGAGGTTTCAAAAGTCCTTGCTAGGATAACTTCTCTTTCTTCCTGTGGATTAGGATATAGCTCTCAGTTACTGCTCCAGTGACATGTGCATAGCTATATTTCCTGATACGATGATAAGGGATTAAGCCTCTGAAACTGTAAGCAATTAATGCTGTCTCTTTTAAGAGCTGCCTTGGTAATGGTGCCTCTTCACAGCCAAAGAACAAACAGCACCCAGACCAGCTGCCTCTGAGGAGGCACACGGGGGGGGGCGGGCAGCGGCTCTGATGCTCAGAAGGTGCAGCTTTCTTCTCTTAGCCACTCAAATAGGGCAAGGACAGAGGCCACAGGCCATTTGTTAGAGTCTCCTGCACTTGTGTGTAACCCTGATCTACCCACTCACACCTCCCTGCTTGGTCCAGGCATTTGAGAAATTAGGAGCCGCACCATGGGCACCCCAGGATGCTGGTGCTGCAGAGCCCTGCCAGCTTCCTTCTCTCCTGCAGCTGTCCTCCTAGACACAACTCACAAGGCCTTTGTTGCCCTTTTCCTTCACAAGTACCTTCCTGAGAAGCCAGGGCAAACTCCCAAGCCCCACCCCTATCCTTCCTGCTTGGGCATATTTCAGCCCCTGGCTACTGCAGCCAACCTACCCACCGGACATCAGTGCAGAGACCTGAAACAAGTCAAGTCACATCTGACCTGATGCCACTACCTGAGTCAAAATCCAGGGGCTGAGATGAGCTTCCAGGGTTTCAGTGGCTGTAAATGTAGACAGCCTAAGGTGTGCCTAGGATTTATGCTCCTGGCAATGCTTTGGAGTCTTCCTCACAGCCACAAACTACAGGAAAAAGTGCTCTAACACCCCTTGCTGTCCCTGAACTCAAGCACCACAGCACATGGGATGGGGTGCTGAGGGAGCAGGGCTTTCCACATTCTTTGCCTTTTATGGCCAGGGCAGTAAGCCAGAGGAGCTCTGGGATAAGGGGTTAAAGATGACAGGGGCTGACAGCACAGTGACCTTTTTACAGGAATTCCATTTTGAAACAAATAAAAGTATGTGCCTTTCCTCCTGCAACTTGAGTAAGATATTCAGATCGGAACATGAGTGCTCTCAAGCCCACTGTCTCCTGGGCTGAACTGCTGCAATGTGGCACCGCGCTGTCTCCTGTATCACCTTCTGCTGAGTTATGGGATGGACACGCTCCTCCAAGGTAAGAATCACGAAGGACTACCACGCACAACACAGTTCGTGGAGGGCCTTGCTTTAAATAAAAGTGGCACCAGATCAAACTTAACTCCAGGAGCCACTTTGGTACAGGAGAGGCTGGCCTATGCAGCTCTGTGGTACAGCACTTGCCTGGTGTTCACAAGGCCTCGGCAACAAACCCAGCACCAGGAAGTGGAAGAAGAAGAAAGGAAGTAACTTTTATCTGGGTACGATTTAACCTAACCCAACTCCTCCCATAGCACCAGAAGGCTTAGCCTCCACTACGGCTCACAGGACCTGCCCTTAAAATCACAGCCTCGGTAAGCAGCTCCCTTCAACCATCCTTCTGGCCAGGAGAATAGCACGTACATCTTCACATTGGACATAAAGAGTGCTGCTTTAAGTTTTCTGTCAAAGATCCATGTGGAACAAAAACATCACTAACCTGTACCTCTCTCCCAGCCAGCTCCAGGGCAGTTATCACATTTCAAAACGATACACTCTGGGTGCCACAGCAGGGCTGGAGCTGCTGAGTGAGATGCTGGGGAAGATACAAGGAAAAGAAGGAATTGTGGCTGCATCCCCCAAGCTTGAGGCCTGGTCAGCTTCACTACTAAAGCCAATGATAAAAGTGTATACAGAACCTTCCCAAAGAGATAGACGGCAAGATGGCCACCAGAGGACGGCCCTCTGAACACCCGCCCATCGATGGTGGTGGGCGTCTTAAACACTGGAACACACAAAGTTTTTCTGGGAGCCTTCATTACCCCTGGCGACCCTCAGGTGTTTCTACTGTCACAACAAAACCCCCCAGTCTTGGGGCTACAGAGATGGCTTGCAGATGAGAGCACTTGTTGCTCTTCCAGAGGACCTCAGTTCAATTCCTAGCACCAACATAGTGGCTCTCAACCGCCTGTAACTCCAACTTCAGAGAATCTGACATCCTCTTCTGGCCACTGTGGGCACCAGGCATATACATGATGCACAGACATACACGCAGACAAAGCAGGCATATCCCCGCAAAAAAAAAAAAAAATTAAAACAGACAAAAACACATCTG